AATTGGTCTGCAGCAGCCAGCAGCTTCTCCACGTTGTCCGGGGTGATAGGCACGGTCCGGGTGTATGCATATTCAATAATTAGCTTCATCATATCAGGGGAAATGCCAGGAATGTTGTATACCTTCTTCTCAGTGTTGTTCCAGCCACTTGTAAACAAAGCTCTGGAAAAAAAAAAAAAAGAAAGAAACTAGCAGTCACAGAATATATGTCTCCCATCTTCCCTTTTCTGTGGTGCTGGGGATTGAACCCAGGGAATTGTGCATGAAAGGTCAGCATTTTACCAACGGAGCTACATTCCCAGCCCCTTTTCTTCTTGAGTTTGGACATTTTCTAAATAGTGCACCGTATGATGGAAGCGGATTGGCCTGAGAAGGTGGGACAAAGACAAGTGCTTTATGCAGTAAGCCAAGGAGAGAACCTTTCCAGGAACTGACTTTGGTCCCACTCTCCTTATCCTCATGATAACTTGGTCTTTTTTTTTTTTTCCCCAGTTTATGGATGGAGAATCTGAAATCTAGATTGGGAGGGAGACCAGGCTCTCTTCTTCTGTCTTAACCCATTGCACACCAAATTCAAATTCATGCTGGTACCAGGGGAAGGAATGCTTAACCCTGAGCCACATCTCAGCCCTTTTATCTATCTATCTATCTATCTATCTATCTATCTATCTATCATCTATCTATCATCTATCTATCTATCTATTTGTTATTTTGAGATGGGGTCCTGCTGAGTAGCTCAGGCTGGCTTTGAACTTGGGATCCTCCTGCCTCAGCCTCCTGAGCCACTGGGATTACAGGGGTACATCACCCCACCCAGCCCAAATTCTATCTGGCTTAAGGAAATTACACTTGAGCAATACCCTCCTTAAATAAGTACCATTCAACAGCATATACCCAGAATCTGATCACTCTTCGCCTCTTATTGCTACCTGGTTGGTCCAAGCCATCACCATCTTTTACCCAGACTATCTAGAATAACCTAATTGATATTGCTTCTGCCCCTGACCCTCCAGCATTATAGTCTCAGCCCAGCAGCCACAGTGATCCTTAGAAGAATTTATGTTGCTCTTCCATTCAAAACCTTCCGCTGACTTCCCTTCTTACTTAGAGTGAATCGCAAAGTACTTACACACTTATCCCTCTGAGAYCTGAACCACTCTGCCCCATTTCTCCCACTTTCCCCCACTCTATTCCAACCCTGTCCACCTCCTTGCTGTTCTTGGAGCCCCAGGGGTAATTCTCCTTTCCTACTGTTATTCCCTATGCCTAGGAGAGTCCCCATATCTCCGTCTTTCTTTCTCCCTCAACCCCTTTACAACATTACCTTGTCAGCAAGGCCTTCTCTGACAATCCTATCTAAGATTGCAATCCAGAGTCCCCATCTTCCTTCTTTTTTCCCCTAGCACTTATAATTGGACATGTGTTTTACTCATTCCAATACCTATTTCCCCAACTAGATAGTAAGGTTCGTGAAAACAGGAATGTTTTTTATTCATGTTTTTCTTTCCAGTATCCAGAATAGCACAAAATAGTCACTCAATAAATATTGAATAAAATGACCACTATCCTACAATTATGCATTGGACTCCTACTATGTAACTAGGTACTTTTTACCTAGAACAAGACAGAATTCCTGCTCTAATATATTTTGTTCCTTTTTTTCTATGTAGTTTAGTGGAATATTGGCTTAGAGATAGAATTATTTTACCCCCCCCATGGTATTGGAGTTTAAGCAAGGGGTGCTCTACCACTGAGCTACAACATATCCAATCTTTTTTAAATTTTTTATGTTGAGACAGGGTCTCACTAAGTTGCCCTGGCTGTCACTAGTGATCCTCCTGCCTCAGCCTCCAGAGTAGCTGCTCTGGAGTAGCTKCGCCTGGAGAGATCAAATTCTGCAAACACAGGCTTTGTGCCAAATCTATCCACCTCTTGTTTTTGTTCTGCCCACAAGTTAAGGGTTTTTTGCTGTGGTTGTTGTTTTTCCATTTTTAAATGGTCAGAAGGAAAAGACCAAAAGAATGTGACACCTGAAAATTAAAACATTAGTGTCCATAAATAATTTTGTTGGGGTGCAGCCACACCCCTTCATTTAGAGCTGTCTGTGGCTGCTTGCACAATGTAAATGCTGGGCCGAATAGTTGCAACCGATACTCCACGGCTTACAGAGCTTCAATATTTCATATCTGGTCTTTCTGGGGCCCTGCTGTAGGGTTTAAGTGAATGAGAATATTCAGCAACAGGTGGGACACAGTTATCATTTCTTCACTGGAGCAGATTACTCAGAAATTTTCAGGTCATGGCCAGGCACAGTGGCATATGAGTGTAACCCCAATGGCTCAAGAGGCCAAGGCAGGAGGATTACAAGTTCAAAGCCAGCCTCAGCAAACTAGTGAAGTCCTATGCAACTAAAAAAGACCCTGTCTCAGGGCTGGGGATGTGGCTCAGTGGTTAAATGGTGAAATGTCTAGAGTTTATTCTGAGTAAAAAAAAGAAAGAAAAGAAAGAATTTTTTGGAGTCATGAACAAAATAGCTCGTCTACTTCCTGGGTTACAATGACTCTAGTCAAAACTCCCCTTTTCTTCTGATAAATATTTCCTAGGTACTTTCTCTTCATCCTCCTTCCCATCCCCCCCATTTTTTCCCCTGGTACCAGGGATTGGAAACAAGAGCATTTGCCATTGAGTTGCATCCCAAACTTTTTTTTTTTTTTTTTTTTTGAGACTGGGTCTTGCAGTCAGGCATGGTAGTCCATGCCTATAATTCCAGTGACTCAGAAGGCTGAGGCAGGAGGAGGATTGCAAGTTTGAGGCCAGCCTCATCAATTTAGCAAGATCAGGTCTCAAAAAATAAAAAGGACTCTGGATGTAGCTCAGAAATAAAGTGCCCTGGGTTTGATCCTCAGTACCAAGAGGGAAAAAAGAAGAAAAAGAGAAGGTCTTGATAAATTCCCCAGGCTGGCCTCAAACTTGAGATCCCCCTCTTCAGCCTCCTGAGTCCCTGGGATTGTAGGCATACATGACTCTGCCTAACACCCTCTCTATCCTTGTTTATTTAACCCTGGGTTTTATTTTTCTGTTTTTTTTTTTTTGTTTATGTATTTATTTTTTGTATTACTGGGGATTGGATCCAGTACCTGGCCCATGCTAAGCAAGCACTCTACCACTGAGTTACATCTCTAGCTCTTTAAAAATTTTTCTGAGATAGCGACTCCCTAAGTTGCTGAGGCTGGCCTTGAATTTGCAATCCTCCTGCCTCAGCCTCCAGAGTTGTTGGAATTACAAGCATGTGCCACTGCACCTGGCTTAACACCCTATTTTAAATGGTCTGTACTGGGACAGGGACAAAAGGTTCACCTGGAGTAGCATTGCCACCCGAATCTAAGTAGGAAATCCAGTATGGGAGTCTAACCAAAGGTTAATTCGGGTGAGAATCAAGGAAGAAATCACATGGTCCACCAGAAGTTGGTTGACCTCAAGATGAAAATCAGAGAAAAGAGGCTTTGGGCCTAAGTTGTATCTCTGCTGCAGACAAGAACCAAGCTAGAGGAGCCCAGAGCTCTGACATCCCTAAATGTCAGAGATGGTGAATGGAGAACCGCAAAAGGCCTCAAGAGGAGCCCAATTTCCCCCTTCTTAGTTCAGCACCCTGTTAATACCTAAAATAGGAACTGCAGCTACAGAGGATGTTCTTGTGGGCATTGAACTCAAAGCCATTGACCTTGATGACCACGTCGCAGAGCTTGCCCTCTAGCCGAAGTTCATTGAAGATCTCACAGGTCATCGCGCTCATCTTCCTCTCCATGTGAGGCTGGTGGAACCGAGTGGAGGCCGCCGTGCTCTCCATCTCCATGGCACCCTGGGACCAGCGGAGAGAGGCTGCTCTCCTGGGGTGTCGGGGAGGGTTGTGGGGGGCCCCTTTAGCCAGCTGTCGCTCCTTTTCCCTACTACATCTTTCATATAGGGCCCATCAGGCAGCCCAAGTTCCAGAATCCTGGGCCCGCAGTGAGATCACTCTCAGGATTGTGCTCTCAGGTTCTGGAACTCCCTCCTGTCCCTGCCCCTTCCTTCCTCCCTCCTTCCTCCCTGCCCCCCACACCTCACAGACAGATGACCTTGAACCCAGAGCAGAACTGTTAGCACCAACACCATATTAGAGTTTGGGTTGATTCTACTTCCTGTTGCTCTCTTCAGGTTGTTCAGGTTCTGATCCCTGCAGCATCCATCCACCTTCCATGGCTCCCCACTGGGCTCCTTRCACACTGAGTTCAAAGAACTCCAAGTTAGCAGAGGCAGAAGGGAGCAGTRAAGCTGATTAATTTSTTTTTTCTTTCTTTTGTTTTTGTACTGGGGATTGAACCCAGGGGCACTTTCACTGAGTCACATCCTCAGTCCTTTTAATTTAATTGTATTTTTTGAGACAGGGACTCCTTAAATTGCTCAGGGCTTTGGTAAATTGTTGAGGCTGTCCTCGAATTTGTGATCCTCCTGCCTCAGCCTCCAGAGTCTCTGAGATTACAGGCATGCACACCATGCCTAGCAAAAAAATGATTGAATTCCATGCTGCCCAACTGCCCAAGGTCTCCCGGCACCCTAGATGTATTAGTCGCTCACTTGCTTCCATGATGAGGAGGGGCCCAACTGAGGATGGTTTAACAGAATTCACTTGGTGGCACCTTCCTATCCCCTCCCACCCGTCGGTTTTGTTCCTCTTGCAAACTTTAGACCAGGAAATGACCACTCTTGCCAGAGTGTTGCTCCAAAGAGTGCAGAGTCACAGAAGGCCCCATGACAGCCCAGCCCACGCACGTGACCCCAGGATCTTGAGACCCTCCCCCTCCTCCTCCCGATAGAACTCGCCACCAGTTGCTCCCGCGGGCGCCCCAGCCAAAGCTCCGAGGCCCGGGAGGCGGCCGCGCGGACGGCTGGGGACGACGCCTGCGCAGTGCGGACGCGGGGCGGCAGTCGTCTCTCGTGCCACGGACCAGGCCACCCGCGAGATGGCGGAAGAGGTGAGGCTCGGGGGAGCTCCCCGCGTGCAGCGGCGGGCCCTTGTCCCCGCGGCGCCCCCAGGTCCCCGGCGGGCTGCGGAAGTCGCGGCGCCGGGGCAAGCCCTGCTCCCTGGGGCTCGGCGCGGCGCCCGGGTCAGCGGTTCTCTCGGGTCTCGGGACAGGTGAGCACCCTGAAGAAGGCCACGGTCCGGATGCGGCAGCCCGGGCGGGTGCTGGAGATCGTGGGCGCGCTCCGCAGGGGCGGGGGCGAGCGGCTGCAGGTACAGTGGAGCGGCCCGCGGCGGGAGGGCTCCTGCTCGGCGGCCGGGCGTCGCGCAGCGCCCCGAGGGCCTGAGGGCGGCAGGTAGGGTCGCCCGCGGGTGGGGGGGGGGACCCTGCTGTCCCGAAACAGATTACAAACGTCGCAAGGTGTTCTTGCCCCTTCCTCCAAAACACCCCGCACCAGGACCTGGGCCTTCCCCGGCCACGCACTACAAGCCCAGCGGGGTCCCCCTAGGTAAGGTGGAGGCGCTTTAGGAAGGAACCCGTGCACTGGGAGGATGCCATCGAAAGTCAGCATGCACACGCGTGCACACACGCACACACACGCGCGCATGCATACACACGCGCACACACACACACACACACACACACCCCTACAGGAGACTTCCTTTAGGGTGTGAGGACAAGATCACCTCTTCCCCTCCCTCTCTATCCCTCCCTAACTCTCCCAGGGTTTTTGCCCCGAGGCTGGCCGCTGGGCTGATTAGACTTCTAATGGTGGGAGTCCTGGGATTGACCCAGGGCCTTAAGCATTCTAAGCAAGTGCACTCTTACCCGGAGGCTGAGGCAGGGCCACAGTAGAAAGTGCCTATTTAGGCATCAGCACCTCTCTTTTGCCTCTTAGGTGATTTCTGATTTTGACATGACCTTGAGCAGGTTTTCATATAATGGAAAGCGATGCCCTTCTTCTCACAGTAAGTCATATTCTCGCTTGCTTGGTTGGGCTTGACAAGATGACAGCTTCTAAGGAGCAAATAAAAGGAGTTTCATGTTTTTCCAGATATTCTGGATAACAGCAAGATCATCAGTGAGGAGTGTCAGAAAGAGGTAGGTTCTCTCTTTCTTTGCTCAGAAATGGATATCATGTGCTACTTCAGTGCCTCCTGATTAGAACCAGATTCCAGCATAGAGATCTTAGGAATGAATTTTTTAAAAAATTTTTATGCTCATGTGGATCTCGTCTTAATACACGATGAAAGCTTTTCCCTATTGGCTGAGACATAGGATGATGGATGGTTGGAATATAGACATTATGCTATTATAAGAGGCTTGAATGTTATATTGTTTAACCCTCCTGCACTTTTATAGGTCGCTGAGCTCTTTTGGGTGAATGACTTTATCATTTAGTTCCACTTCATTATTCACTAAATTGCATTCTAACTGGGTCTCTTGGTGTCTCATCATTCATCAATTCTTCCAATATTCCTTTTCTTTTTTCTTCCTTTTTTCTTGCAGTGCTGGGGATCAAACCAAGCTCTCATGCATGCCTTTCCAGTACTTGGAGATGATTACTTCTTATTAAGATGGGCAGTGACTTATAGATAGCACTTTATTTTATTTTTTACTTTTTATTTTGCATTACTGGTGGTACTCTATCCCTGAACTACATCCCCAGTTCCCCAATCTTTTTTTTTGAGATGATCTAAATCACACCAAAAAAAAAAAAAAAAAAAAACTCCACACATATATATGATCTTTTGAGTCCTAATATACTTTTAGAAAAATGTTCTTGCTAGGCATAGTGGTATATGCCTGTAATCCCAGTGGCTTGGGAGGATGAAGTAAGAGGATTATAGGTTCAAAGCCAGCCTCAGCAACTTGGCAAGGCCCTGAGCAATTTAGTGAGACCCTGTCTCAAAATAAAATATAAAAAAGGGCTGGGGATGTGGCTCAATGGTTAAGTGCTCCTGGGTTCAATCCCTGGTACCAAAGAAAGAAAGAAAAAGAAAAAGAAAATGTTTTTGTACTCCAAAAAACACACAATGAGAACCTCTTTCTCTTTTTAAAAATTTTTGGTGGGAGTCCTGGGATTGACCCAGGGCCTTAGGCATTCTAAGCAAGTGCACTATTGCTGAGTCACCCCCAGCAACTTTGTCTCAAAATAAAAAAGTAAAAGGGATGAAGATGGGGACGTAGCTCAGTGGTAGAGCACCCCTGGGTTCCATCCTCAGTACAAGAGGGCGGGGAGAATCCAGAACTATTTAAATGAAATGAAAAGTGTTTTTTCATATAGTTCCTTAAACCACCTTGCCTAGCACATTTTTTTTTTTTTTTTTTTTTGGTACTGGAGATTGAATTCAGGGGCACTTGACCACTGAGCCACATCCCCAGCCCTATTTTGTATTTTATTTAGAGACAGGGTCTGAGTTTCTTAGCTCTTCATTGTTGCTGAAGCTGGCTTTGAACTCAATGATCCTCCTGCCTCAGCCTCCAGAGCTCTGGGATTATAGGCATGTGCCAGCACGCCCAGCTTCGATACCTTTCTTATAGGAGAGTAAAGCTCCTTATATTGCTGCCTCTTAGACCTCATTCTCAGGGCGAGTGCAAGAGGAGCTCTGCAGGTCTAGTCTCACCCTAGACATTATCAAGTAGGTAGATGCAAGTGTTGTAAGAGAATAAAAGAGGGGCTGGGGCTGTAGCTCAATGGCAGAGCACTTGCCTAGCATGTGTGAGGCACTGGGTTCGATCCTTAGCACCACAGAAAAATAAACAAACAAAATAAAGGCATGCTGTCCACCTACAAAAAATTTTTTAAAAAAAAGAATAAAAGAGGAAAAACTTGAGTCTTGTAACTGACGCATCCCCACACAAAAACTAACACCCTTTACACAAGGATGCATCCCCTAAGCAGTTTTTCTCTCACTCTAAGCTGTGGGACTTGGCTGGGGGAAAACTTGGTGTGTGCTAATGGCTTTCCTACTCGTGTGGATGTCTCCAGCTCACGGCGCTGTATCACCACTACTACCCAATTGAGATTGACCCACACCGATCCATCAAAGAGAAGTTGCCTCATATGGTAGAATGGTAAGTGGTGCTGGCGAGAGATGCTCCTGGGCTCTGAAGGTGGGCTGGGCTGGGCTGGGCTGCAAGTGTTCTTCCAGAGCTTTGATGAATTGACGGCTCCTTCACCTTACTGAGGTTTTAGCTGTAATGCCATTAGCCCAGCTAGTGGAACAAACTGTCCATATACACCAGGACTTCCGGTGTCTGCTAGAGTGGAGGCCCTCAAAGACTCCTTGGAAAAAGTTAGAAATCCCTTGGTTTGGTGGCCTGTTGGGGAAATGTCCCTGTCTTGGTCTGTTTTGTGCTGCTATAACAGAACACCACAGACTGGGCAACTTAAAATGAACAGAAACATATCGGCTCACTGTTCTGGAGGCTGGGAAGTCTAAGGTTAAGGTGCCAGTGAATGATGAGGGCTTTCCTGCCGCATCATCCCAGGGAGGGCAAGAGAGACAGAGATCAAGAGGGAGCTGGACTTGTCCCTGTATGAGGAACCCACTCCCATAATAATGGCATTAATCCGTTCATGAGGCCGGAGCCTCCTGACCCAAACATGTCCCATTAGGCCTCACCTCCCAGCATCTTTGCTTTGGGGGTCAAGTTTTCAAAAAATTAACTTTGGGGGGCACATTCAAGCCATAGCAACCCTACCATGGAACCGTGCATCCTGGGCAGCATCTCCAGAGAGGAGGGTCACAGAGGACAGGGTCCAGAAGGGCTTCCGCTTTCACAGCTAACAGCCCCCCCGCCTCCAGCTCTGCCTCCCTATGCTGCCTTCCTGCCCTCTTCCTTTTAAGGATGGCCACAATCCTTCAGGAAATGACTCTGTGGAAAAGGGGGAGGCCGTCGGCGTTAGAGGGAACTTGGTTCTGTGAAGGGAAAGGGCCCTTGGCGTCCGTGGGTGACTTGGAATTTCGTGGGGTATCTACTCTTAGGTGGACCAAAGCGCACAACCTCCTGTGTCAGCAGAGGATTCAGAAGCGTCAGATAGCACAGGTGGTCAGGGAGTCCACCGCGATGCTCAGGTGAGTTTCTTGCCCTGGAAACGCTTCACCAGACTCTTCAGAACTGCTTTGCATTCTCAGGGCATGCCTCACATGTGCGAGACCCTGGGTTCCAGCTCCAGAACTCAAAAACAAAACAGTAAACTCAGTCTGAAGCTGTTTTGCTTATGCAAAAGAGGCTGGGGAGGAGAGGAGCAGGGTTAGTAGCTGGGAGTCAAGGAGACGAGTCCTGGCCATGGAGCCATCTCCAGTGGAGGCAGTGCAAAATGCCGGCGCTCCATCTCCTAGAGTCCAGCTCTTTTTTTTTTTTTTTTCTGTTTTTTGATGGTAAAGATTTCTGGAGTCCCCCTGGGTGACTGCTGTTCTTTACCCAGACATGAGAGTTGCTAAGCCAGGACCTTTATCATCACTATCCTTCACCAAGCAGCTGTCTCTGCTGGAACTTTCTTTCCTGGAACAGGGATGGGAGCCCCCCGAGACAGGAGCAGACATCAGTACCTGCCCTCAAAGGTTGGCAGTCCTTACTGGGGAGAGAGGCTAGCTCCTGAAACAGCAGGAGAGTGGAGATGTGTGCAGACCAGAAAAGAATGAGATGAATGTGGAGGGGCCCCAGTGGAGGTGTCCCAGGAGGCCACCCAGTGCATGATCAGTAACAAAATAATATTGGCCTCTCTTGTTGTTTCAACAGTCCCTCTCCCAGGTAAATGTCCAAGAGCAGTGAGTGAACACCACAGKACATGCACAGGGCTTATTCATTATACTGAAATCTGACGACATCTCAGTTGTCTATCAACAGGAAGCCGAATAAACAAATTGAAGCACAGTTATATGATGGAATAATATTTTCAGCACAGCAGTGACAGGAACAAACTACTCACCACAGGCAAATCACCCAGTGACTAGGGAGGCTGAGACAGGAGAATCACCAGCTTCAAAYCCATCTCAGCAACTTGGTGAGGCCCTAAGCAACTCAGCAAGACCCCTGTGTTAAATTCACAGTACCTAAAAGTAGACAGACAAACAGAAAATGGATAAACCATACAGACAGTATGTTAAACAAAATAAGCCAGAGCAAAAGAGTATATTCTGTATGAATCTTCCCCAACCTTTTTTTTGGTACTGTGGATTGAACTCAGAGGTGCTTTATCACTGAGCTACACTGAGCTTTTTTTATTTTCTATTTTGAGACAGGGTCTCACTAAGTTGCTTGGAGCCTTGCTAAATTGGTGAGGCTGGCCTTGAATTTATGATCCTCCTGCCTCAGCCTCTGGAGTTGCTGGGATTATAGGTGTGCTTATTTGTACCTGGCTGAATCCCTTTATATGAAGTTCAAGGACTGGCAAAGTTCATTTTTTTTTTTTTAAAGAGAGAGGTGTGAGAGAGGGAGAGAGAGAGAGAATTTTATATTTATTTTTTAGTTTTCAGCAGACACAACATCTTTGTATGTGGTGCTGTGGATCGAACCCGGGCCACACGCATGCCAGGCGAGCACGCTACCGCTTGAGCCACATCCCCAGYCCCAGGACTGGCAAAGTTAATCAGTGGTGATATGAAGTCAGATGCAGGGGGAGGTAGTATTAACTGAGAGGGCCCTTGAGGGAACCTTGATCTGATTAAGTTTCCTGGACGTATACATCTGTGAAAATTCATTCAGCAAGTACATAATCACTTTCTGTATACATTGTGTACCTCAATTTAAAATGTTTTTAAAACAATGAAAATTATAAAAAATACCTAGCCCAAGTAGAAGACAAAGAATAGTAGCAAAGGCAACTCCATTTCAGAATTCTTTCTTCTCTTTACAGGGAGGGGTATAAGACATTCTTCAACACACTCTATCRTAACAACATTCCGCTGTTCATCTTTTCCGCGGGCATTGGTGATATCCTGGAAGAAATTATCCGACAGATGGAAGTGTTCCACCCCAACATCCACATTGTGTCTAACTACATGGATTTTAATGAAGATGTGAGCCATATCCCATCTCRGCAGGGAAAAGCAGAGGGGTGGGGACCATCAACCTGGCTGCTTTACCCTATACTTTAACCCCCACCTGGGGAGGCAGGAAAGGGAGACAGCTGGCTTCTTTGCCCTCAGGTGGTTATTTCTTTCTTTTCTTTTTTTTTTTGGTACTGGGGATTTGAGAGGTGCTTTACCACTGAGCTACATCCCCAGCTCTTTTTACTTTGAGACAGGGTCTTGCTAAGTTGCTTAGGGCCTCACTAAGTTASTAAGGCTGGCCTCAAACTTGCAATCCTCCTTCCTCAGCCTCCCAGGTTACTGGGATTCCAGGCGTGCATCCCTATGCCTGGTTTATCAGTTATTTTCGAAGGACTCTCTCTAGTGTTTGGCCAATAGTTAGCTCTCTGCCATGGGGACCTAGTGTGTGGTTCAGCTTGGTCCTATGTCACTGTCATCAATTCTGTGCTACTCTAAGTATTGAAAAGCTTGGACTTTGATATTTTTTTCTGGGATTGTAGGTGGCCTGCTCCCACTCACCTGTTTTCTGATTTCTTCCCCATAAAAACAGTGACTGAAGCCAGGCACAGTGGTGCACACCTCTAATCCAAGCTACTTGGGAGGTTGAGGCAGGATGATTAAAAGTCCAAAGCCAACCAAGGCAATTTAGGAAACCCTGTCTCAAAAAAAAAAAAAATAGTAAAAAGGTTGGGATGTAGCTCAGTGGTGGAGTTGCCTTACATGTATAAGGTTTTGAGTTTACTCCCCAGTACTACCAAAAGAAAACAAAAGTCAGTGGCTAGAATTTTTATCACCTTGACCTGTGGTTAGGACATGGCYTGCAGTTGAGCGGTGCGCACTCATGTCCTGAATGGCATTTTCCTTTTCTTTTTTTCCCTCTTGCTCTGTTGGGGACGGGTCCCAGGCCTGGCCTTGCACATACTAGGCAAGTGCACTACCACTGAGTCAGATCTACATTCCCATGAATAGCATTTATTTTGCAGCTTTTTTTTTTTTTTAGTTGTAACTGGACAAAATAGCTTTTATTGTATTTATTTTTTTATTTTTATGTAGTGCTGAGGATCGAACCCAGGGCCTCGYACGTGCTAGATGAGCGATCTACCACTGAGCCACAATCTCAGCCCCTATATTGCATCTTCTATCAAAAGAGATAATCAACAATATTTGATGGCCCCTATAGTTTGTTTTTTTATTTATTTATAAATTTATTTTTAGTTGAAAATGGACACAACACCTTTATTATTTATTTATTTATTTATTTTTATGTGGTGCTGAGGATTGAACCCAGTGCCTCACACGTGCTAGTTAAGCATTCTACCACTGAGCCACAACCCCAGCCCTATTTTTTTACAATATTAATTTTTTTAGTTTTATTTTTCCACATTTTTAATTTTTTAAATAATTTTTATTTTATTTATTTTATTTTTATGTGGTCCCGAGGATTGAACCCAGAGCCTCGCACATGCTAGGCGAGTGTGGAGCCACAACCCCAGTTCCACATTTTTTTAATTGGTACATTATAGCTGCCTATGCTAGTTTAAATCAGCAGTCACAAATTTTTCCTATAAAGGCAAGGTAGTAAGTATCTTAGGCTTTTGGGGCACTGTGGTCTCCATTTTAACTACTCTCAACTTTGCCATTTCAGCAGAGAATGCAGCCATTGTCAATAAGTGAACAAATGAGTGTGACTGTATTCCAGTAAAATTTTATTTATGAAAAACAAGCCATACCAGGCATTGTGGCTCATGCCTATAATCCCAGCGACTCAGGAAGCTGAGGCAGGAGGATTGTAAGTTTGAGGACAACTTGACTCAAAATAAAAAATAAAAAGGAGCTAAGAATGTAGCTCAGTGATAGTCGAGTACTCTGGGTTTGATCCCCACTATAATAAAAACAACAACAAAAGACCAAATCTGGGACACAGGCCCTAGTTTACCCACCACCAGTCTAGGGTACAGTAAAAAGTTTGGGCATTATCTATTACTTGCAGGATTTCCTTTCCTCTGTGACAGAATGGAAAGCTGGCACTCCATGGGTCCTTGCTACCTGTCTCTTGTTTTTTTTAGGGTTTTCTACAGGGATTCAAGGGCCAGCTCATACACACCTACAATAAGAACAGTTCCGCGTGTCAGAACTCCAGTTACTTCCAGCAGCTTCAGGGCAAAACCAACATCCTCCTGCTTGGAGATTCCATGGGGGACCTCACTATGGCCGATGGGGTTCCTGGAGTGGAGAACATTCTCAAGATTGGCTTCCTAAACGATAAGGTAGGTAGGGGCCAAGGCCACCTGTCCACATCGCTTTCTCCTTGAATTTCTACTAAAAAAATGCTTTGGAACACCTTCTACGTGCCAGACACTGWGGAAAGTTTAGGGATGCCGAGGTAAGACTCAAGCCATATTCCCTTAGAACACGTAGTCTCATAGGAAATGAAGAAGATCCCCAGTAATCACAAGTGCACACGTGGCCTGACGCAGGAGTTGAGAGAGAACATCGAGCTGGCCTGTGTGACTGTGCGTGTCAGGCACTGTTCTAAACATGTCACAAACATTACCTTTCCAGCAACCCTCTGAGGTAGTGACTCTGGGGTTTTACAGTTAAGGAAAGCAAGTCAAGGAGTTTATGGTGAACTTGCCCAAGTTAAAGTAGTYTAGGAGAGAGTGGGGCTGATTACCAGTCCTCCTAAATCAGACCTAACRGGCATGATTGAGATGCCAGACGTTGGTATTCTGACCATGAGTTTATAATTAAGAAAAAAACAGTAAAAACAGACCCTRGCAGGGAGGAGCACAGCATGGTGCAAAGGTACCAGAGTGCTGTACCTCCCCAGCAGATGCTGGAGCCCACAGACATTTGAGCCAAATGAAAACTCCTAGCACATGCCTGGAATCCCTTTGCTGGGGGGGCTAAAGCAGGAGGAGCACAAGTTCAAAGCCAGCCTCAGGGATTTAGTAAGGCCCTAAGCCATTTTGCGAGATCCAGTCTACATTAAAAAAAAWATTGGGCTGAGGCTGGGGCTCAGTGGTAGAGCACTTGCCTAGCACGTGGGAGACACTGGGTTGGGTCCTCAGCACCACGTAAAAATAAAACAAATGTATTGTGTACATCTACAAGTAAAAACAATTAATTAAAAAATATAAAGGGCTGGAGATGTGGCTCAGTGGTTAAGTACCCTGGGGTTCAATCCCTGGTACCAAAAAAAAACCAAAAAAACAACTCAGCCCAGATTGATTAGAGGTAACATCTGGGCTTTTGATTTTCACCCTTGATATTGACCTTTTGACTCTGGCTGAGGGTTAATTAAGGCAGCCTTTCTGTCTTCAAAGGACAAACCCTTAACCTTAAACTCCTCAGACTTTGGAAAGGGGGCTGGGAGCTGGGAGCTTGTGTGGCCTCCTCCCTGGCCCCCCACTCTGGAGTAAGAGGCCTAGGCGTCTTGGGGACTCTCTGTCTGCTTCCCTGTGCAGGTGGAGGAGCAGCGGCAGCRCTACCTGGAGTCCTATGACATCGTGCTGGAGAAGGACGAGACCCTGGATGTGGTAAACGGGCTGCTGCAGCACATCCTGTTCCAGGGGGACCTCATGGAGATGCAAGACTCCTGAGGGCGCAGTGTCRGTCCAGGCCTTGTCGATCACAATGAGGAGGGGACCTCTCCTCAGGAGGCCTCTCTGCTGTGAGCACAGAGAAAAGTCCTGGGCAGCCAAGAGCCACTGGACACATCCTTGCCCACCTCCTCTTTCCCCCAATGCCTTCACTTGCCTCTTCAACAGAGGCTTGCAGGAGGCCCTGTTGGGTAGGAGGGCAGCAATCAGGGTTCCAAATGAACCATGGGCCACAGCATGTTAACATTCTATGGATCATCTAGTCCAAGGATTTTTTTAAAAACTTGTTTTTATCAAGGTGGTATATACCTGCAATCCCAGAGGCTCAGGGAGGCTGAGACAGGAGGATCACAAGTTYCAGGCCAGCCTAAGCAATTTAGTGAGGCTCTATGTAACTTAGTGAGATCCTGTCTCAAAATAAAAAATAAAAAGGACTGGGGATGTGGCTCAATGATTAAGGACCTTGGGTTCAATCCTCGGTACCAAACAAACAAACAAACAAACAAAAAAAACAAAAACCTGTTGGCCCTGGGGGCATGGGGGCTCCATGGAACAGTTGGAGGACCACCATGAATTAGCCAGAAGCCCCTCTGAGCCCAGGCTAAATATGCCTGTGCTGACAGGGTGGGCGCTGACTTGGAATGGGGTGGCCTAACTCTGGGGCAGCCATCAAATCTGAAATTCCGTTGGGATCAGTTGGGTTGAGGTGGCCGTCTAAGAGCCCTCTCTTTAGGGGTTCCCAACGGGACCCATTTGGGTGTAGATTTTCCCTGGTGCCCTTGGCTCCTTCCTCCTCCTTTTCATCCCAGGGCCACCAAACAGATGATCTGCAAGGGCTTCAGGCCAGGGGCCCGGGGCACTAGGCAAATTGAAAGAGAAGCATCTTGCATTATGGCTGTTCTCAGTTTCTTCCCCTCCTCCCCCTGTTGACTTGGATGGTCAAGAGCCAGCTGAGTTCTCTCTGGGCCCCTTTCAAAGAGCCAGTTCAGGTGGTGTTTCTTGGCCTGTCYTCCCTTGGAGACAAGCACCGGCTGCTGGGCGTGACGGTGCACACCCGTAACCCCAGCAGGGGGCAGGAGGGCAGTTTTGCCACCAGCCTCAGGGACTTAGAGGGACCCTGTCTCAAAGTAAATATATAAAAGGGCCAGGGATGTGGCTTAACGCTGGAGCACCCCAGAGCTGGGTTCCCAGTACTGAAGAAAACAGCCACTCGMACTTCCTGCGAGGAGCCAGCTGTTGGACTTGTGTATCTAGTAGACCTGAAGGTATTGGGGGGTGGGTACAAGGGCTGCTCAGTGTCTGCTGGAAGCCAGGTGCCACTCGGAGTGCCTGGATGCCCCCCAGTGACCCTTCAGGAGGGGTAGTTCCTCCTATTGCAGATGCCCCTCCTTGACGGCTCAAGGATGAATAATTTGCCCAAACTCCATAGCTGGGAACCAGAGCCAGGATCTGAGTGTTTCTGATCCAAGCCAATGCCTTTTCTTCTGCATCCAACTGCATTTCTCTGCTTCAGCCTAGGACTCTTCTAGGTTTTAGGGGGAAGGGCTAACATCTGAGACTGGGTCTGTAAACTGTCAGATCTTAGAAGCTTTCTGGATATTTTGGGGCCAGGGAGTGGCAATCACTGACCTGTCATATGTTTCTGAAGATCCTGGGTATGGCCAGGCATGGTGTCACATGCCTGTAATCCTAGTGACTGATTTAGGAGGCTGAGACAGGAGGTTTTCAAGTTTGAGGCCAGCCTCAGCAACTTTGCAAAACTGTCTACAAAACATGTTTGGGGGCTGCCGCCTGAGGCGAGCTTTAAATCTGGAGCTAGCGCAGAGTTTGCGCTCTGGGAAGGCGCTTTTCCCTCGCSGCCGCGTCTTCAGCTTGCTGCAGCTCGTGGGCCTGTGCTGTCTGAGGCCCCTTCCCGGCGATAGTGCAGCCTGAAGGCGCCTCYGCCCCACTCCGCTGCTGACCCCAGTCCCCCACTCCATGGCTSCCTGGGCGCYGCCCCCACCGGACAAGCTGGAGGGAGGTGGCGGCCAAGCAGGGCAAGGCCGGTTTGAAAATGAAGAGCCCAGAAAAGAAGCGAAGAAAGTCAAATACTCAGGGTCCTGTTTACTCAACGTCTGACGGAGTTTGCACCACCCCCGACTCCCATGGTGGATCATCTGGTTGCATCCAACCCTTTTGAGGGTGACTTCGGAGCCCCTAAGGTGGCGGCGCGGCCCCTCCATTCCTCCGCAGTCCTGTGCTCTTTGGAAGCTTCCGTGTATTAGGGGGCATGACAGGCCAGGTACCCTCAGGCTGTGGAGGGGTCCCCAGACACTTCGCGGATAAATCCCCCCTTTCCCTCCTAATCCTATGGGACCTGCTTTCAACATGCCCCCCAGGGCCCTGGCTACCCACCCCCAGGCAACACGAACTTTCCCAGTCAATCCTTCAGCCAGCCTCTGGGTCAAAACTTCAGTGCTCCAGGTGGGCAGATGATGCCAGGCCCAGTGGGGGATTTGGCCCCACGATCTCACCCACCATGGGACAGCCTCCCAGAGGGAAGCTGGGCCCTCCTTCTCTCCCCCAGCG